CTAAAATACCACAGTTACAAAAAAGTTCAAAAGTTAACAAAATACCCTTAGCCATCCAAGACCACCATCAACCGTGACTTACCACTGCCGGCCATGTTAGTGTATGCCTTAAGAACCAATCATGTTGTCAGTTCCAAGGTATTTTGTTTTGTATATATACATTAATGTATATATTTTGTATATATATTTTTATCTTATTAATAAAAAAAAATGTTCTTATTTCACATGTGGTTTACTGCTTCATTTATTTATATGTATTACATGTGAAATGTCCGGATGATACAAATATTTAGAAGATCAAAATCATTAAAGTATTCCCTCCATATGTAATATTAATTGGGCAATAATATTACATAATAGGCATGCTGAATGCCTTCGTTGAATATCATATGATGATATTAGTGTGGGTGATTATAAAAGTTATATCACTAGGGCATTAGAATAGATAAGCGGTTAGTGAACTGTTTATCGAATATGGTCATTTATAATGAATTACATGGACATTTATAATGCAGTCAATGGTGCATCATAAGATCATACCAGTGTACTATTCATCCTTAGACTTGAGATATTACAGTTAGATTTTGCATAAATGCATCTGATTCATATGGTGTATAAACATGAGGCTAATCATGTCATGTGTAAAAAAGCCGATTTGGCCATGTGTTATTTATGTGTGAAGAAAAGTGATAGTCAAGATGGGATCCGTTGACTTGGTATAGGTTGATATCAAGTTCCTAGACAAATATCAAGATATATTGGAAAAGGGAAATCTCCGGCCGGGGTATATAAAATGTTACTGAAAGGTTGTTTCATGGTAACACGTTCCGTATGTATTGATTGTCAATTTGATATAAGATTAAGACAAGGATTTTGACATACCATGAATCCATTCTTAATTGGGATTAGACAACGGAAAGATTTAATTACATAGCACGTATGATTATAAAAGAGTTCGTTGGAGTATATCTTCATTGTGACTTAGGGGTTATGGAGCATTACTAAATGCCTACCATAATCGATGAGAGTTTCAGTCATAGAGAGTTATGACGAAACAGATCGGAACAGACTACGATATTGGGCTACGGCTACGCTACAGTGAACCTAAGAGATCAAACATAAAAACTAAGGAGAATAGAAAAATAGTTAAAAAGAGTTAATATCCAAGGTTGCTTAGCACCTACCAAGGGTAATAAAGTTATTTATATTATTATTATTGAATTAGATTCAATGGAGGTTTATATTAGTAATTATGAATAATTTAAGAGTTAAATTGCTAATTGGAATTAAATGAAATTCTAATTCATAATTAATCATTTTCTTTATATTAAATTGGTTTTAATAATGGGTTGTAATTGTAAACATATAAACAATTTAAGGGTTAAATTTTTTGTAAACAATTTAAGGGTTAAATTGTTAATTATGATTAAATGTTAATCCAAGTTATTATTTAGAGAAGTTTAATAACTTCATAATAATTATGGAATTATTTACAACTCCAAAACAATTATGGAATTGTTTAAGGAAGTCCAAAACAATTATTGAATTGTTTACAAGGCTATATATATAAAGAAAATGATATATCAATTTTAGTGTAGAGATCAAAATTTCTAAAAACCCTAAATATCTCTCTTGGCCTAATTCTTCTTTTACCTTAGTGTGGATACTCTTTTATTTAATTTCTCTTGAAATTAAAAGTCTCCAAGGTTGCTAAGAACTTAAGGTAACAATTTATACCTTATTTGTTTTCAATTTGATTGAATTTTTTTGCAAAATACTAATATACATATTATAGTATCACATGCATCATTCTCCATGCATTCCAACTTTTAGGTCACCTACATCAGTTGCCGTAATAGTGCAGGATCGATGGGATTTGACCGGTCGTGCATCGATAATCAGATCTGGTATTTTCATGACCAAAGATGTGGCTGTGAAACGGCCACAAATTTAGCCGTGAAAATTTGGCCATGAAATGACATGGCCATAGATCTAGTCATTTTTCGGCTATGGATTTGTGATCCATGGCCATTTTCGACTTCGTCGACGCACGACCAACCATATATAGCCAATCATGTGCCATTCCGTCTACTACCGGTGACGGTTAGTAGTGGTGGCTAGTTGCCGACTAGTAGTGGTGGCTGGTTGCCGACTAGTAGTGGTGGCTGGTTGCCGACAGTGGCTTGGGGTGGGTGAGAGTGATTTTGCTATAAATTAAAGTTTTATATGGTTGGGGTGTTTTAGCAAAATTTTAAATGTAGAGGGATAAAAAATTATTTTAAAAAATAATAAAAATATAATATTATATTAATATTTAAAAAGAAGGACAATTTAGTAATCTAAATAACATACATACCCATTTATCATTCCAACCAAACATACAATTTACCAATTTATTCGAACCAACCAAACACATTTTCTAAACATTTTTAGTAATCTTCAAGGTGATTTTTCTTTTTATTAATATAATATATCATATAATAAAATATTATATGATTCAAACGCCGCATAACATTAAATGTATAGACAAAAGAATATTATATGATGACATTTTTCATAATTAAAATTTTATTTATTTTTTGTAATATACGTATATATTATGTAATATTATTGTCATCACTAAAAGTAGATAATAATACTTCAATAATGTTAAGGGCCTGGCAAGTTGACCATCCAGTAAAATTTTGACACGTCAAATCTCAACTCTGCCAGCCGATCTCGTAGGATATGAATCATACTCTTCTATCCAACAAGAATAAAAAAATGACTAGAAGCGGGGTGTCAGGACACGTATCTTTCGGAGGAGGGAGCTTACTTTTTCATTTAGAGTTTAGAGGGTGAGTTTATTATCCCCCTCTATTCAATTCGCCACGTAACATCCAAAATGAATGATTGTGTAGAAAGTAATCAGGTAAGGCAACTTCTTCTCTGCTTCCCGTACGGATAATGTCCCCAACCACTCCACCTTCGCCTCGTGGCAAATTTAAAAAAGTTAAACTTCTTGTTCTTCCCTGATATTTGGTGTAATTACATAAACACCTTATTTAGTTTGGAAATTTTCATCTGCTACCCCCTATAATTTGTTAGGTGGATGTCCCTGATAGAGTAATGGTTGGCAAAAATTAGAGAAACTCTTCTTAAGGTCAATGATAGGTGCAAGAAATGTGATCTATAATTCTCAAATTATAGGGATTATATATGGAAAGACATAAAAAATTATGAATCTTCAATAATTCTATCAATGTTCAAATTAGTTATTTTTAATTCTTACATATTTTTTGTATTTTTACTATTATATTTAACAATAATTAACAATTTTTTAGACTTTTCATCATATTTTAAATTTTAAAAAATTATTTCTAAAATAAATTATCCCCTAATGCATTATAATAAGCTTTCATAAAATGATCCTCTATTTATCTCACACTGTAACTAGTTAAATTACAAAACAGACATAATGTGCGACATGGAGCTACAGGTGATAATTTCTCAACTACTTCTAACATGAACGAATTTAAGCAGCGCACGTACCTCGAGGCTCCACTAAATTAAAAAAGACTTCCATATTTGGACCAAACTACCCCTCACCTTCTCTTGCCTTTTTTTCCTTAACCACCTTTACTACTTCGAGTACTTTCTTCTTTACCTTAAACTAATTCCCTTTCTTTATCTATTATCATCCAACTCTATTTCTTTAATATTAAAGTCAAACAAATTTGATTCATTTCAATAATTTAATTGGATTATGTTTGAAAAAATTATTTAATAACTTTCACTACTAATAATAATCGATCTTACAATAATAGGATCTATGTCTAAAAATAAATCATTTATGTATCATAATTAAAATACCTATAAAATGAATGAGTGATATCATTTAAGAGTAGTTTTTTTAATAAAGACATCCTGATATATAGAGATGGACGCCAGTTGGGTCGGGGCCGGGGAATGAGTCCCTTGTACCCGTACTCGACTGTTGGGGAAATACTCATACCCTACTTGTACCAGAGTTGGGGGTGTTAGGGAATCTCCATCCCATACCCGCCCTTGCTTGGGTGATACTACTCGCAGGGATATAACCATCTTCGAACTCGACCTGCTCCTACACCCAGTGAATACTCTTCTCCTCATACCTGACCCTATCCCTAAAAATTTTGGGGAATCCCTGACCCGCCAAGTAAAACACCTATCTCTACTAATATAAATTTTGTCAAGACCATCCTTAATCACCTTGTCACATTCATTTCATAAGACTACAATGATATTTTACAATTTAGATCCAATGATATATCTACATAATCTTAACAAAATTATATCACAATCCTAACTAGAGAATTACCATATCATTTAAAGTTCATGTTTTAAAATTTTTGTTCAAATACTTTAAAAAAAAAAAAGTATTTTGATGTCCTTTTAATATAAAGAAATATATGTTAAATGATAAAAATGTTTGTTTTTTTTTTATTATTTTTATTTCAAACGAAACTTATATTATTTTTATTTGAGTTTAAAATAAAATTTTTATTTGAATGATAATACTCCAAAATTAATTATATCATCAATAATTATATTTATCTTTTATTTTTTTTCCTGAAAAATTAAAAATATTTAACTTCTAAGGTCGTAGTATACTTATCATATTTTCTCGTTTAATTATTAATTTTTACTCATCAATTACTTTCAACAACAAAATTTATAAAGTAATCAATAAAAGTAATTTTTTGTCTGTTACATGTACAAAATTGGCTATAATCTCTCAACATTAAAAATAGAACTATTTTGATGAAAAAAATTAGATAAAGTACAAGTACAAAATTGGATATAATTAAATAAAATATTCTAAAAATAAAGAAATACTATAAATTTAGTTTTGACAAAATTAGCAATAACATCTTTTTCTTGCAAGGGTAACCCCGTAATTTCGCGACCATCAGACCTGCCAGCGTGGCTTTTGAAGACAAACAGAGATATCACCGCAACAAAGGAAAAAAATCAAATAAGATAAACAAAGAGAAAACACAAAGACTTTCCTCAGACCACAGATCAATCAATCAATCAATAATCAATCACCACCACCTCACGTCGTTAAATCCTCTTTAACGGCAGCACTGCCGTTCTCCTCCACCTCCTCATCCGCCGTTGCTGTCAGCTTCCCTCCTCCGGCGAGAACGGAAACTCTCGCCGGAGAATTATTTCTTTTGTTTTGGTTTGGTTGACGTGAAATGTAGGAAAGAATCTAATCAAATTCAAAACGGTGCGTACAAGGCACAGACAGATGATGCCTTGTTTCTTCAATCAAATTTCCTTGCCTTAAGCCGTAATTTATTCCATTTTATTGTAAATTAAATTAAATATCTCCCTCCACCTTCTTGTTTAAATTCCTCATCATTTCTCTCCTTCTCTCTGTTCGCTTTTCAATTCAAAGTCCTGCCTCTAATTTTTTATTTGTTTAATTTGTTATTATTAAATGCGAGATCTTAGATTAATTCAACCAATTCAAACACATTTGTAATAATTATCAACTTAGCTCAGTACGGCGCGCTGTTGTGCCGTTTTGCAAATTTGATCATGCCTTCTGAAGAGCTGCAGGGTTTAGCAGAAGAGGTGAGTTGTCTTTAATTTTAATTTCTTATTACTTTATTTGTAATTTTAATTCTGTTTATAATTTCGGTTTGTTATGTTTTGTTCAGAGGCAGGTCGGTTTTTGGAAGTCAAACACGTTGCCTGGACATTATGGTTAGTAATTCTAATTTATTTTTCCTTTTTTTTTTTTTTTTAAATTTAAAATTATGGAAATTCCGGTACTTTTTCAGCCTTGCAGGGACCGTGGATTTAAATTGATCCTCTTAGTAAAAACATACATTTGTTATACATGTAGAATTTAAATAAGGCCTGTATTTAACATGACTATTAAAAGTGATGGCGAGTTTGCCATTTGGAATTTCTTGTATGGGATTTGTGGTGTTGTTACTGTTTTGAGTTACATGGTCAAAGAGGACATGGGACCTATTTTCAGGTTATGTTAGAATTTCAGTTAATGATTTGGAAGCCGAATATGATTAAACAGAATCGAAAAATTTTGTAACACTAAATTTATGTGGACGGTGTTATGTTTGTGGTACGTTTGACTGAAAATTGCACATTCAATTTTGTGAACATAATTTCATACTTGGTGTTTGGAGTCAGAGAAGGTAGTATTTGGTGAATGATTTTATTTCTATGTCATTTTTGGAAAAGAAGAATGATTGAATAGTCTCTCTTACTAGTGCTACAAATTCTAAAGTAATATTCAAAGTTTTCCATCTCAAATGGTATGTCATCGTATGTGTTAATCTATATCATTAATCATATTAGCCCGTCATTTGCACATCATTGTCATACTGGAAGAAATATCACTTGGAATATTACTTGGATATATAGAATTAATGTTTTTCTCTTTTCTCTGAGGTTTTTTTTAAGTTAAATCAATTGTTTGGAAGAAAAGATGCAGAGTGCTGTGTGTATGTATGTATTAATGATCTTTGTCTTTTTGAAAAGTGCTAGTTAAGAATTAAAGTTCTTAGTAATTTGCATTTGACCATAATAAATTTTAGGCATTGCTTGTCGACTTTTAAATTTTGTTTTTCTATTTAGGGAAGATCTGTAGTTCGTGCATTGAAAGTGCTTCAATGTCGAACTTTAGATATTTAAATAATAGATGACTACGACTGGTTCTTGAATTGATATCATAGCTGTGGAAATGTAGCCCTTTCATTATATTGAGTTGTGCTTCTATTGAGGAGTGAAATCTGATATAATGTGACCAACAGCCAGCAGGAAGTCAATTGCTTCATCTCCTCTAGAGAAACATATTGCTGTGGAATTTCGGACCATGAATTCTCTGGAACATCCTGAGTCTTTCCTGATGCGAGACCCGAAAGCAAATCTTTGCATAGATCGGTATGCAGTGGGAGCAGAGAGAGCTGCCAAGCAGTCTATGACATTATTGAGATCTGTAGACCATGAGCCAGGGACCAGATCTAGTTTGAATGTACAGCAGGCATCCTCTTTTGGAGAAGGTGACAAAGTAAATAAAATGGCTGCGCAATATGAGAGCAGTCTCTTCTCGAGCTCATTATCAGAGTTATTTAGTAGGAAAAGTAAGTCTTCTTCCCCTTTTAATGTTTCTTGATATATAGATTTTACTTACTGTTGTTATATCATGTGCTTATTTTTAGTTATAGCTCGTATTATCTAGATACAGTTTATGGGTAAATTTTTTTCAGGAAATTGCATGCTGTTCTAGTATAGATAACCCTGTTTCATGTGAATTTTCTTGTTGCAGTGAGACTGTCTTCAAACATTGCACCACATGGTTATTCAGTTGACACTGTAGCCTCACATTATGAGGAAGAGGGACCCTATGAATCTCTTGAAGAAGTTGAGGCCCAAACTATTGGAAATCTTCTTCCCAACGATGATGACTTATTTTCTGGAGTGACTGATGGGATTGACTACATTATCCAACCCAGTAGTGGAGATGATATGGATGAGGTGGACTTTTTTGACAGTGTTGGAGGGATGGATTTGGGGGATGATGGTTCTTTTGCAGTGGAAGAAAATTCTGAAATTTCTGCTGGTGAGCTTGAGGTTTGTAATGGTGGAATAGCCGTGGATCACCTTTATGGTGAATACTCTTCTAGAACACTGTTTGTGAGAAACATAAATAGCAATGTTGAAGATTCCGAGTTAAAGACCCTTTTTGAGGTCTGTGCCTCTTTGTCTTTTTGGGTGTTACCATTTGTACTTCATGCTTGTTTTCAAAATTGAGTGATGACACAGTTGTTGTCATTTGTTTGAATATGCAGCAATATGGGGATATCCACACTCTTTATATGGCCTGCAAGCATCGTGGTTTTGTTATGATTTCCTATTATGATATTAGAGCTGCTCGAAATGCAATGAAAGCTCTGCAGAATAAACTGATGAGGCGTAGGAAACTCAACATTCATTATTCAAGTCCAAAGGTAAGCTTCATGTATAATTGTACCTTTCTTGGTAGCTTTTATGAGAATGCCAGCCATATTGTTTGGATTATCATTGATATGTGTGCATTTTGTCCTAATTTTGACTGGTAATCCATATTTCTATGTCACGTGTATAAATATTGATCTGTGACACCATGAATTGTTGGTTTATTCTTATCAGGACAACCCTTTAGAAAAAGATATAAACCAGGGTACTCTTGTGGTATTTAACCTTGATGCTTCTGTTTCAAATGATGAACTTCGTCAGATCTTTGGTGTATATGGAGAAATCAAGGAGGTTAGCTTGTGTTTCAGTTTTTTGGTCGTCTGATTGAATAAGAATGCAGCGTTAACTCATTCTCACTCTGTGCTACAGATCCGTGAAACCACTGAAAAGGGTCATCAGAAATTTATTGAATTTTATGATATTAGAGCTGCAGAGGCTTCTCTTCAAGGTTTGAACAGGAGTGATATTGCTGGGAAGGGAATTAAGGTTGAGCCAAGTCATCCTGGGGGTTCAAATCTGTGGTATTACCTAAGCATATTTACTTGTCTTTATATCCATTTTCACATAAACCCAGTATATCTTTAAAAATGACTGTCAAACTGCGGTGTCTACGGGCAAAATATAAATTCTTTTAACTCAGAAAAGTTTGGAGAATCAGTTTGAAGCAGAATATCTGCCATATAGATTCATACACACATTTATATGTGCCATCATTTATTTATCTCAGTATGTCAACGTTAATTGTTTGATAACTGCTTTCTAATTTGTTAATTGTTTCTTTAATCTGTCACTAAATTTCCTTACTTTTGATATAGTTCGGCACAGCAGTGTGCTTCTGAGCTGGAGCAAGATGGGTTTGGCCATTTACTGCAGCAGAGTAGCCCTCCTAATAATTTAACCAAGTTTTCTGGTATGATCATTGCCATTAAAAGGACATTCCTTGTAAATTTCAAATCAGAAGCAATTATATATTTATGTTCCTCACAATCTTTTTTTTATCAGGGGCTATATTGCATGGCTCAATGTCATCTAGGAGCACAGATAAAGGAATTGGTTCAGATTTACACTCTGCTAGAAAAGTCTCATTTCTCAAATCTGTTCATCCAGGTATATCTTCAAGTGTTCCTAACACTTTGCCCTCTTTGGTGAGAGTGGAACCAGTTGTCCCTCAATCTGGCCTTGCCGAGTCTGGTCACTCACTGAGTCCTTTAAAATTTGGTGTCCAAACCACATCAAGTTTTCATCCTCATTCACTTCCGGAGTATCATGATGCTTTAGCAAGTGGTGTTCAGTGCAATTCTCCTGGTCCCATTTCTGCAAATGTCAATATTAAACCACCAGAAATAATTGACAACCGCCAGTTCAGCAGAGTTGGCTCAAATGGACACTCCATTGGGTTTGGTGAAAAAGGTAAGTGCCATGGGATCACTTGGTACTATTTTTATCTATGTTTATGTTTCTTGGTTTGGTTTGTGAATCCATTAAGTACAACTATTGGTATATACAAGATTCTATGGAGACCCAAAATCATGTAAAAACAATCAAGAATAGTGGTTAATTTGTGAATTGTGACAGCTAAAATGTCTTAGCATTATTGATTTGAAATTGTGGAAAGATATCTGAATGGTTGATATTAGCTTTAGATGCTTTATTGTAATTATTCTTTTTTGGAATTCGTTTGGCCTAAATGTCTTACCTGTGGGTCAAGCGGTATATCTGATTAGGTGCTGCATATGATACCCTATTTTGTTGCTGAACACATTGTGTAATATTTGATGTATTAGTATCTGAAGTTAAGCGGTCATCTAATGTTCTTTTGTTTTACTAGCTTTATATTGAATTGACTCTTTGTAATATTTGTCATTTTGGAACTGCATGTATCAAATGATTTTTTTCATTTTTGTTCTTTTACTCAGTTTTTGGGTCTGCTGGTGGTGGGAGCGGTTCTCTTCTTGCACATAATTATACTTGGAGTAACTCATATCATCCCCAGCCTCCAGGCATGATGTGGCCAAATTCACCATCAATGGTCAATGGAATTTGTAATGCTTATTCGCCAGTACGACTGCATGGACCTCCAAGATCACCATCACATATGGTGAACACAGTTTTACCGATTGGTAACCACCATGTAGGTTCAGCGCCAGCTGTTGATCCTTCTCTATGGGATAGGCGACATGCATATGCAGCAGAATCTCCTGAGGTTTCTGGTTTCCATCCAGGTTCCCTTGGGAGTATGAGAATTCCTAATAACTCATTGCACCCTATGGAATATGCCTCTCATATCATTTTTCCTAATGTCGGTGGAAATTTTATGGAAATGGCTATTTCCTCAAAAAATTTAGGGTTTCAATCCCATCAACAGAGGTCCATGATGTTTGGTGGCAGAGGACAAGTGGTTCCTATGATGAATTCATTTGATCTTCCTACTGAACGTGCTAGAAGCCGTAGAAATGAAGGCAGTGTAAATCAGGCTAACAAGAAACAGTACGAACTTGATATAGAACGCATATTGCAAGGGGAAGACACCCGAACGACACTCATGATAAAGAACATTCCTAACAAGTACGTGGCTTCTCTTTTCATTTCTGTAGCAGCAATTCCTTTAGTCTCTAGGATTAGTAGCTTTAACATTATTTTTGTATGAAATTTACTTGGCATAAGTAAGCTGGCAGATAATTTAGGGAACCTCCACCTCCAGTAAAACATGATAGTTTTAAAAAAAATGATATCGGATAGGCTGGAAGTCAATAACTACACTGAAGAGTTGCCCTTTCTCCTGTTGTTGAAAACAAGTTGATGGATAAATGACTGAATACTTGTAACCAAAAGAGGAGAAGAGGCATATAATTTTGCAAACTAAAGTTTTGCTTATTGTTCAATTTGTTGAATTTGCTGACTTGATGGATGAAGAACTTAGTGCTAGCGATAGGGAGAAAAATCAGCATATGGACTTCCATCGGCACAAGAATGTGCTCTAGTACATCCTTACACATGAGCTTGTACATGTTATAGTGTTAGCACCAGCACTAGACTTGGTTGTTTTGGATCTGTGGCATAAGCATTGATGTATTGTCACAATTACTTCAATCTGTTTATTTATTGGGCTTATTTCTAGGGGCAGTGCACTAATTTCCTTGTTGCAAATTTGTGTAACTCTAAAGGTACTCCTGCTTTGAGAGGCGTGCTAATTTTCTTCTAGTTGTGGCAACAACTGGATTGGTTGGTTGTTAATTTGGCTGGCCTGAAGCCCAATAAAAAAGTTTCATGTGATATGGGAATTAGATCGAGTTTGAGCTAATTTTTAGGGAACTTTGTGCTCTTGATTTTAGCCCTTTATTTCTATTCTAGACTGTAGGAACTCTTAGGAATGCCTAAATCTAATCTCTTTCTATTGCTGCCAATGAAAGTAATCATCATGCATATATGGTCCTTTCTTTTTAGCAGCATGAATTTCAAATTATGATGTTGGCAAATGCAGGTATACTTCGAAGATGCTTTTGGCTGCAATTGATGAACGCCATAAAGGAACATATGATTTTGTATACCTACCAATTGATTTTAAGGCAAGTGTTTTTATGTTTTGAAGATGTGTTTCAATTTTGTGGGTGATTGGGGTACAGGAAGAAGTGAACCTGCCATATGTAAAAGTCAGAATTATTCATCTTGCTTTGTTTGCAGAATAAATGCAATGTTGGTTATGCGTTCATCAACATGACAGATCCTAGCCAGATCATTCTGTTCTATCAGGTTTGTTTTGTAAAAAACTCATGTAGGAATAATGAAAATATTTGTAGAGAATAAAGCTAAATAGAACTGAAATTCTTGTAGTCATTCAATGGAAAGAAGTGGGAGAAGTTCAACAGTGAAAAGGTGGCATCACTTGCATATGCTCGCATACAAGGAAAAGCTGCTCTTGTCGCACATTTCCAGAATTCCAGCTTGATGAATGAGGACAAACGATGCCGACCAATACTTTTCAACACTGATGGCCCCAATGCTGGTGATCAGGTATAAATTGACTAGAATACGATTCATTTATTTACTTGGAAAACAGTATTAAAATTATTATACATAGACTTGAAAAGGTGATCCCCACTCAAAAAATCTAGTGTATGTAGTCAGCAGAAACTTGAGCAGTGTAAAAAATAGAACACTAAATTAGGTTCTTCATATTATGTTGATAAAGACCATCTCAAGCAACCATTTTTATTTGTAGGTGCCATTCCCAATGGGGGTTAATGTCAGAACTAGACCAGGAAAGGCGCGTAATGCCACCCTTGAGGAGAACTATCAAGGAACCCCTGTGAATCTCGCAAATGGGGAGGGTTCTTCTACTGGAGACAGCTCTTCGGGTTCTGTAAAGGACTCAGACTAAACAACTTTTTTGTGGGCACTAACCTTACATAACTGAACAATCAATATCACACAGTACTTGGGGTGAGTGGTGACTGTGAACAGGAAAAAAAAAAATTCCTGGTTTTCTTCATTTCAGAAGCCTCTGAAAGTTTTGAGAAAAATTGCTGAACTGAAGCCAATTAATTTCCAATTTTCTTCACATTAAGGAGCATAAAGCGGAGCTTCTAAATTTTGGATGTTCAAGAGTATGTTGTAAAATATACATGTATAGGATTGGCTCAGCAATGTCAATGTCTAGTTCTTCGCCACTGCTTGAAAGAGGCTTCTCTGCTAATTTGTTTCCGGCATTTTCATCTGTTTTCTGTTAATTTTTTGTCTATTCTGATTTTCTCTGTATGTAATTGTTAAAAGAAATGTGAGTAGTGATTATGGAAATTTTTGAAATGAAAATGTCAGCTCCAGTCATTTTTCAGAACTGCTGGCTCTCATCTCAACAGGACTATGTATTCTCACCTTGTTATTTCTGAAATATAGAGACCATTTGCACCTTTGTAGTTCATGCTGTTGTATTTATTTTGATTACAAGATTGGTAATTCCTTCGGATGATGATTGATCTAAATGGTGAAAATGAAGAATTTTGAGAGATTCCAATTTGCAGAACTGGAAAAAGACCAATTGTGTTGTATGTTGAAGGAAAGTGTTGAGGAGTACAATTGTAAAAGTACTTCTAAGTCAAATGAAATGTGTATAGAGATGACAGTTAGGTTTGATTCTCTAAACTAAACCAAATTATTTTAAATCAGGTTGGTCCGAAGTGTTGATTGTCTATTAAGGTGGATCTGTTTAGTGAATTGATATGTTTAGCGAAATAATATTATATATGTACGTTATAATTGAAAAGTATCAAGGATCCGTTTGGTATAGTTTCTTCAAATACAACTCAAGGAAGAAGAGCTTATTAAAATATAAGAGTAAACTTTTGTGCAAAATTTGGCAACTGTTTAGTTAAAAAAATATAAAAGAACTTTATATTATTAATTTACTAAAAATTAAATGGGAAAAGCTCAAAATTTAAACTTCTCCCATAAATTGTAAAATAACTTATTTAAAACCTTATAAACACTATTGAAATACAATCAAACAGCTTAAAAGTATTTAAAAAATGCTTATAATTTTAAATAAACTTTTTTAACGAGTCCAATCAACAGACTCAAAGTGTTTTTATCAAAGGTTTGTCAAGGGAATTTTTTATATTTTTAGAAGTATTATACTTTTTCTACACGGATACATTTCATATTCTAAATTTTACATGAGTAAATGAAAAAATATTATTTTTATCGATATTGTCATTAATTTTAATTATTTTTAAGCACGATTTAATCTCTTACCAAAAAAAAAATACAAGAAATTAATGGTCCTTTGTTTTGTTATTTGGATATGATTTTGAAATAGTATTAGAGATTTGGGTTGGGTTATTATTACGAGATATGATTTGAATAATAGAGTGTTTGGTAGAGTATTTTGACCTTGTTTTTGTGTTAAAAATTGTTGAATATTGTTTGATATTTTTATAAATGATTTATTATAATATTTTGGTACATTTTGTTAAAAAATTTTTATATCATAACCTAAAAAACTTATCAATTTACATTTTATAATATTAAACATTTGATTGTAATTTCGTAATCACTAAATATTAAAAAAAAAAAAAAAAAAATCATTAATTTCAATACTAATCCAACTGTTTAAAACATCACATTAATACATAGACAAAGCTACTAATTATCAACCCTTAGAATCGTTTGTACACATATATCCATTACAATTACAACTTGGTCATAGTTCAATCGTTATGTTATTATGTACAATTGTCATGTTGTCTATATGTGAAAGAAGCAAGGAGCTGTGCGCCGAAATAGTTCAGATTGGCTAACTGAGCTTCGCCAGTAGTTGAATGCGGTGGAAGAGAAGTTGCACGCGTGGTTGGTGCTTGGAAGAGAGGACTGAAAATAAAGAAAAGACAAAAAGAATAGAAGAGAAGGGCAGATGGCAATATGGCATATGGCAGGTGGAAGAGAGACTTGTCATGGTGGTTAAGGGAGAAAGACTAAATAACAAAGAGAAGAAGAAGAAAGGAATAAAGGAAGAAAGAAGTAAAAAAAAAAGAAGAAAAAATTGCAGATTTAGACCCCACCAACATAACGGTCAAATATGGCAGGAGTACTATTTATTAAATACAGCTTTTTGAGTAATAAAACAAACACATATTTCAAAAATTGTATCCCAAATACTGATAGAAATAGTAACCCAAACACACCCTAAACTTTTTATTTTTTAGTATTCGGGGATTGGGGATGGGGATCAAATCCCCTTTTCGAGGGGGATGATGATCCCCACCCCCATTGCCATCCCATGATCCAAACAAGCATTGATGGAACTAGCCAATATGGTAGTTATACCTAGTGATTAGGACCCCGGCCTGGCCTGGAATTCGAGGCCTTCTCTAAGTCGGGTTTAAGATTTCCACTGTTCCCAAACTTTCTAATCTAACCATCGGCGAATGAGGGGTTACCAAGTACCGAGGTTAGAGGGGTTTTATAGAGTAGAGGTGGGTGGTTCAAGGGTTGGTGTCGGATTGAATTTTGGATGTTGGAATTTATCAACCCAATTTTGCAAGTCATGGTTGGCGAATAGTGGGCTACCTAGTGTCGAGGTTAGATGTGTTTTGTAGAGTGGAGGTCAGTGGTTTAGGTGGTGGTGTTAGATTGAAACTTTGACACCGAAATCCAGAATTTGGCCGAAAAAATCAACCCAATAGCAACGGTTACACGAGTCACAGACTCACAGCTGGTGAATGGAGGGCTACCAAGTTTTGAGATTATAGGGGTTTTGTAGAGTGGAGACCGGTGGTTTGAGGGTTGGTGTCAGATTGAATTTTGGACGCCAGAATTTATCAACCCAACGCGCGAGTCACGACTGGCGAACAAGGGGCTACCAAGTTCTAGGGTTACATGTGTTTTGTAGATTGGAGGCCGGTGGTTTAGGTAGTGGTGTCAGATTGAATTTTTGATCCCAAAATCAGCCGAAAGTTCGCCGGAAAAATCAATCCAATAGCAACGGTGTACATGAGTCACGATCAGTGAACGAAGGGCTACCAAGTTTTGGGGTTAAAGGGGTTTTGTAAAGTGGAGGACGCTGATTTAGTTGGTAGTGTTGAGTTGAACTTTAGCCATCGAAATCAACCAAAATTTGGCTAGAAAAATCAATTTAAGGTTAGATCATAGGGGTGTATTTGCTAGATTTCAAACCTATAAGAATTGCTAGTATTTTTTAGAGTGTGTTTGCAAGATTTCAAACTTACTAGATCATCAACAAACTACTGGTTTAACCAGTTGGACCGATCAACCCAGGACCCAACCCTTTGGCTAGGTGACACCTCGTGTCGGGTTTCAAAACATTGGTTGTACCCTCATTAGACATTATGATTTAAGAATCGAGCTTGGCTGGGTGGACCAAAATTTGCATCAAAAATTTTTCTCACCAAGGAATTAGCTGGACATGGTATAATGCTCAAGTAATCAATGTTTTCTTGTTGAAATGATTTGACAAACAATAATGCTATGGACACCAAAGGTTTACACCAAATTTTTGCACCGACCGACATGTCATCTAAGTAAGATGCAGTCACGTAACACACTAACAAATACTCCGCGAATGAACGATCGTCCATCAAATATAAATGAAAGTTCATGATTATTGGACGACCGTTCATTTTAAATGGACTCCCGTACATACGAAAATAACAATGGACTCCCGTCCATATTATATGAACGGGAGTCCATTTACTATGGATAGACGTCCACCTTGAATGGACGTCCATCCATAGTTTAAATTATAAAACAATAATAATAGATGCTCGTCCATATTCAATGGGCGGGCGTAACTATTAGATGGACAGCCATCCATTGACATAGCAAATAAAAAGATTTTAATAAAATTTCAAGTCTAAAAATTTAGGGTCCCAAAAAAAGTTTAAAAAAACAAAAAGCAGCAAACATACATTGAAGCCCAACAACCATTTAATAAGATCTATTCATAAAACAATAATGCTTAGAAAATAAACACATTGCTGTGACTCCCAAACAATGGACGCCCATTACACCCATTACGACCGTCCAAAGTCAAAGTCTTTTTGTCCATAATCAACCAACATTGAAGGTGGGGCATCCAGTTAGTAAATACAGATACAACAAAAAAATGGTACAGAAATTTTATGGGTATAATACGACAAACGGTAAAAAGTACGTTTATAAAAATTCGGTTATAAAATTTAGATACGGAAAAAATATGGTACGGATATATACGGATTTAATACGATATATTATCAATAATACGTTTTAAAAAATACGGCGATATCAATTATAATTTTTAACACTTTTATAGAATATCTGATTAAAATTAATTAACACTTTTATGGACTATCTAATTAAAATTAATATAACATTTCAGATGGGGAGTATTCAATTAACTAACATTAATCTTTTATTTTCTTTGCGTTAACAAATTCCCAGCCCATGTCTTGTTCTAAGTTCTTTGAAAAGATATTTATTTATTTTTTGGTTCGTGCAATAGAAACATAATTGCAGTGTTGAGTCATGAGTGTTGAGATTGACACGCAAACTGAAATCCACCACAAACACAAAACACCCATGACCCATCTTAAAAACCTCCCTCCCTCTCTCTTCTTCAATCAAATCATCTCTCAGTGTCTCTGTCTCACCCACAAGGCCAGCTGTTTCTTTCAGAGCTCCAAAAATGACATCTGCGCTATTCTTTTTGCCAATACTTTCCCTTCCTCAAACTTATTCTTCTCCCCCAAACACAAACACAAACCCGTTAAAAATCTCAACCAGTTCGCCGTCCGAGCTTCCTCTGATGACTCTGCTGGTTCCTGAGATGAAGACCCAAGAGATGAAAAAAAGCTGAAAACGTGGAAGAACTGAGAAAGAAAAGCTGAAAATGTCGTCCGTCAAAGTACTGAGGAAGAAGAAGAACCGAAGAAGAGAAGAGATTTTGTTTAATTTTGAATTAAACCCCACTAAAACGACGTCGTTTTGGGGTGAGCAATGAGTTTTTTTTTTTTTTTTTGTACAATAATTCGCGAATTATATGCGTATAATTCGACAGTTTTTATAACATACGTCAAAACGCGTTTTATACGCGAATTATACAGCTGGCCGTATAATTCACGTATAAAACACGTATTTACTAACTAGGGTGGGGCATCAAATGTGCTCCTGCTATGCCCATTACACCTAAAAAAAAAAAAAAATGCTTAGAAAATAAAACTCTCAAAAATGGACGCCTGTCCAGAGTCAAAGGCTTGGCCTTCCATTAAAAATTATAGATGGTGAATTATTGATGAACGGACGTTCATATTATAGATGGTGAATTAGTGATGGACACCTATCCATATTATATAGATGAGCGTCCATTATTTTATTTCTAAAATTTTATGGACAAGCGTTCATATGAGATAAATACCCGTCCATAGTAGATAAACTTCCGTCCAAATAATATAAATGATAGTCCATTGTTATTTTTGTGGATGCTCGTCCATCAAATATGGACAGTCGTCCATAATTGTTGGACATCTGTTCATTCACGAAAAATGTGTGTTATCTTCAACGTGATTGTGTCTAACTAGATGCCACGTACATCGATACAAAAATTCGGTGCAAATTATCAGTCGGTAGCATTATTCTTTAACAAATGACAATATTTACTAATGAAAGTCCCACGTAAATGCCTAATCTAATTAACACAATGGAACAGAACTCTTACACAAGTTTTTTTTTTCATAAAATGATCATCTTAGCGATTAACCGTCGAAATTCACCAACTATGTACATCCGAAACCCTTTTTAAAACCCAAAATCATGATTGAAAAAGAATGGTTTTATCAAACTCACAATCATTGTTTTAAAACCTGGACCAAAGAGCAACTCCTTTTGCTGCCCGGGTCACGGGTCAATCGATCCAATGACCAATGACGTCAACAACAATTTTATTTTTAAAAAATTATTATTAATCCCTCAAATTTTAATATATTACAAAAATTCCCCCTAAAAAAGTTTGTTTAATTAGTATCCAAAATTTTTATTTATTTAAAAAATACACCCAAAAAATTACCAATTAATCCCTAAACTGTTGACATATCTAAACACCCCTTATAAAATTACAAATTAACTCTTATAATTTTAAAATATTACAAAAACCCCCCTAAGACCTGAACCAGACTACAGAAGCTGCCGAGTCTCGGTCCGACCGGTCGGTCTGGTCTGGTTTTTAAAACAGAGCTCACAATGTCCCTGAACACACACTTAACAGTTCTAACAAACTTCTTTCCCCTCCAAATATGACATCCACAATGATATCAATCGAAATGCATGCAATATCAGTAGCAAACCCGTCAAAAGAAAAGGCAAAAGTTAACTTTAAACCTAAAGCCAAGTATAATCTATCCTAGGAGCTATTAGTAATCAAAATTGCTAAAACTAAGCGTTCAACAAAGTGACACACCAAACATGCCAAAGAAAGAGGAGAAACGAAAAGAAAGACCACATTTGTATCTGAGAATATACTGCAGGATTGACAGTCCTTTCTTCAACCATTCAATTTCACATGAATAACAGGTGAGGACTTGCTCATCAGGAGCAATTCTGAATAAAAAGCTACAAGTGCGTTTATGTCCTCACACACTGATCAAAGCATGTAACAGTTTAGAACCTCAAGTTACTTGAAGAACGATGAAGCTTAGTTTGTTACGTCAACACTGTATCTCCGTGAGAATCTTTCACAGGCCATTGTTGAAAGTCTGCAATGGACATAAAAGCAAAGAAAATAAAAAGATGTCGTTACTCAACGAAACCTCCTCAACCCTCCAAGAAGAGCTAAGATCTTTATCATGTGGAAATGTTTTCATGGCCAATCTAACCAATCACAATGGACTATGGCAAAACCTTGGCTGCTTGCACGTTAAAAAGACAGAAGGTATTTTAGTGTAGACATGTTTCACTTATATTCTAAGTTGGCATGACAATGGACAGATAGAGGCACTCAAACAAAATACTATGGCCCATGGTCATTAATGAATATGAACTACCATATATGAACAGTTTTTTTAATTTTTTTTTTTAAATAAAGATAATAAAAAAATATTTCCATGAGCCAACAGACCTAACAAGTGAGGTTTGGATAGGTTCACAAGCGATCTCCATTGCACAAGGTAAAAACACCTATTTATTGGCAACTCAAAAGAATGAGAAGAGAAGCTTAACCAACTTACCATAACCAGAGGGGGCATCACTTTGGGTAGAGAATGTCATAATGGCCGGGACGATACAGCAAGGTAATGAAAGGGCTGATGGCCTCAGTGCTACCACTTGCAGCCTTTGGAAGATTACCAGAAGGAATGAAATCATGATGATTCACACTGACACCAGCTGTATCACATGAGCTGCGATCAAGATATACAACACGGATAGGTACACTTAATGCATCTGAAAGGGCAGTAATGTGTACATGATCACTCTCTTCACCCATTGGTTCCACTGATGACTTGCAAAACTACAGAAGAAAAGATTATAAAATTAAAAGAGAGGCTGAGAGGAAGATTCAAATTATGGAATCAGAAGGCTGTGAGTAATTCATCAAAAGCATAAAAATTCAAACCAAACTTTGTGAAGTTCATTAAATTCTCCATAAACATCAGATTATGAAGAAGCAGAGATGTTTTCATAAATAAGAATGAATAACAGGATACTTTTTGTACAGTATTGCAATAATTAGTACAATATAAAGCATGGGAAGTGTAATTAAGATAGGAAGATACATATTTTCTAATTTATGCCAATATAAGTTTACTTTTGAATCCAATTTGAATTTTTAAACACATAGCTCATGCTAATTTTCAAGACTCGCTTGAAGAATCTAATAAAGAATGGAAAGGTGGCAGATTTTCACAAGCACACAAAATAAGTATCACACGGACCTGTTCCACTGTTGCGTTTGTTAAACCCAGTACGAAAGGTTCAAAGAACTCGGAGCGCTTTCGTATTTCACCAGAGGTAACAAATCTGAAAAACATTACAACTGACCACCCAAATGTGTCAGGAGACAAAATGTGAATACAGAATGATGCATTCAAGTTTATAAATTCACTCACCATAGTCAGATACTGACTGATCTCTACTTCTAATTACAAGTTCATCGTGACTGGAAAAGGAGAAATAAAAGGGGAAAACTATATTAATTGAACAATAAAATGATTCATTTGCTTGTCATTTAGGAAGGCAACAAAAAAATTTCAGACAAGTTAAACAATGGTGTTTTAGACTGTATAAAGACATGCAAAAGGAAAGGTGAAACTTCAATAATTTAATTTAAAAAACACCATTTTTCCCTTAAAGTTGTCAACATTGATGAAGAAAAAAAAAAAGAATATGGGATCCACACCTAATGGAGGATTCATTTCCTTGAAGAACGCTTTCCAGCTGCTCAAGGAATAACTGGAAAATTTTTCACTGGGAATTAGTACCAGAGTATAGGTTTCTAAGACAAGTAAACATTCATTAGAAGCAACAACGATGAAAGTCTCAACAAAAGTAAACAAATTAAAAATAATAACCTTTAAAACCCGTAAGGGAGACCAATAGATTAGACCATTTTTTATCTAAAATTCAACAATCACATTTGACATTATTTTCCCTAGTAGAAATTAAAAGAAAACTAGAATTAACAAATAGAGTCAATGAAGTCTTGATGACACCTTCCAAGAAAGGCCAATTCACTAGCCAAACTAAGATCAATTACAAATTTTGGAAAAATAATGGTGACTACAATTAGCTGGTGTAACCAAAAATTGCAAGTTTTCAGTAACAAAGACACTAACATATTGTATCAGTGGCATTATATTGAAAAACTGAAAACCCAACCCTATTATTTAAAGAGCCAAAATGCAAATACTGGATTTACCGCAAAAAAGTCCTCAAAGGTAAAATCTGCATAACCTAAGCTCTGAAGCGTTTTTCTACATTCTTCAACATTGGCTTTTACACGATCAACTTCTGCTCGATCTTGGGATTCCAGAATGTACTCCTATAACAGCAACCAAAAATTAGTTTAGTAGCTAAATTTCTGGGCATATTAACTTGCCTCAAACAAGAAGCTCAAAATTAGAAATAATAGGATGATCTAGAAAATTAGATATTAAGACATACAAGATAGGAGAACATAAAACTTCGAAAGAAGCAGTTCCCATCTCCTCGTGTACGCCTAATGGCAGCATACTGCTCACCAAGCATCTGCAAAAGGAACATCAATTACTTCCAGAGGGAAAAAATTACTGCCAAAGAGAAACATTAGAGCCAACAATAAACTGCAAGAGAAATACACAAATTAAAAACCTTTATTTTCTCCAACAAGATCGGGCTGCCTGATTGATACTCAGATGCTAATGCAGAAAGAGGTTCCTGTAATGAATATATCAGCATATATGAAATAAATCATTGACAACAACACATCACAATCAATACAAATAAACTAATGATGCTGTATTGAAGCAGCGAGAAAACAAGATCACTATGCTAAGAAACAACACACAGCTAGTGTTTGACCTGGTAACAATACCGGATCAGTTAACAACATGATAACATTAGCAAATTACACGTTTCATGTCACTAATATAATCATTGTTTTTACGTTACTAGTATAAAAGTTTACAATAATGTTCTGCATTTCTAATATCAAACAAATACGAAAATGCCACAGTATAACATAAATAACAGTATCCACAACATTGTTTTGGTAACACTTTAAAGTTATGTGAATATTTCATACTAATAACATTCCCTAAAAATAGTAGTGAAACATAAATTCAACAACCATAATTCCAATAACATACAACACGTGATTGGTAAATTCAAAAAATGCTACCATTTCCTATATGGCAAATTAACCCTGCAATGTTACCAGGATAGTACCACACAGCTTCTGAAACTAAACCCAAGCGTAATCAGGGACCCAAATCACAAATAAAGTACAAAATGTAACACATGACTTTTATGTGCATGTTTCATATTAATAACATTCCCTAAAGACTATCAAACTATAATTCAACAATCATAATTTGAATAATATACGAAACAAGATTGGAAATTTCAATAAATGCTACCAATTTTCGTATGGCAATTAAACCTGTAGTGTTACCAGGACAATACCACACTGCTCCAGAAACTCAAACCATATGTGATCAAAGACCCGTATCTCAAATAACGTACAAAATGTAACACTTTAAACAATCACAACTTCAAAAAATACGATGCGCAATTGGAAAATTCAAAAATGCTACCATTTCTGTACTGTAATTATTCCTGTAATGTTATCACAACAGTATCATACTGCTCCTGAAAATTAATCCATATGTAATCAGAGACCTAAGTCACAAATAAATTACAACATATTACACTTTAAACAATCATAATTTCAATAATACACATGATCAACAAATTCAATAAATTCTCCCATTTTGTATACTGCAAATTAGCCCTGCAACATTGAAACTAAAACCAGAAGCAATCAGAGACCCAAACGACACAAAAAGAAAAATGATGCGTGATTGGCAAATTGAATAAATGCTACCATTTTCTGTATGGCAATTGTTCCTGTAACATTACCAGGACAGTACCACAGTGCTTCTGAAACTAAACCATATGTAATCAGACACCCAAATCACAAAATAAAGAGCAACATGTAACACTTTAAACAATCATAATTTCAGTTCGAAAATTCAATTATTGCAATTGCCCTGTAACGTTACCAGAAAATACCATACTGCTTCTGAAACTAAACCCATATGCAATAAGACCCAAATCACAATAAAGTTCAAAATACAACACTCTAAAGAATCATAATTTCAATTAGCAAATTCAATAAAAGCTACCATTTTCTTTAATGCAATTACCCCTGTAACATTACCGGGACAGCACCACACCGCTTCTGAAACTAAATTCACATGTAAGCAGAGACCCAAATCACAAATAAACAAAAAAATGTAAAAAAGCAAACAAAAATAAAATCTGGGTAAGTTTCAGTTACCTTGTCGGCAACGAAAGGAACCTTCTGGGCTTCTTCGGCCCGAATTTCGGATTGCTGGTTCATGATATCTTCGTCTCCGAAATTTCCCCAATCTTCAAACTCACAAGACGCTCCAGACTCCTCATGATTTTGCATGGTGAAGGGCTTGTTGTGATCTCTCTGTGTGATCGAAGCCAAATGCAGTAGTTTAGGTGAGGAATCGTCGTCTCGGTTTCGGTGAGTTATTGTTTATTTTCAGTTTTATCTTGGGTTAATAACCGATGATTCCCCTTATGTCCAATTAAATAACAAGAAAGACCCCTGTAGTTATGGTAATGACAAAAATATCTCTACCGTTAAGTTTTTCATGTTAAAATAAACGGTATAGAAGCAATTTGATAAATATTTATGAATCTATCATATTATAAATTTTTATGACACACTAATGGCTCACTAACGGCAAGGGAATATTTATAATAGGGGGACATCTGTATCTAATTAAATCTCAGGAGTCTAGAATGCCCTTTATTTGGGTTAATTGACCTCCTCTGAACTTTTATGCATTTTAAACCACAAATAGTTTGAGAATTATCATTGATCTCCCCTTTTATTCATGCTGGCCTTGATATGTATTAAGATTTTGCTTGATCATTGCTAGAACTTATTACGACCTACAAAATCTCTCTGGAAACAAATTAATATAAAATGACGTGACAAATTCTTCTTTCAAGACGATGTAACAAAATATAAATAGTAGAATGAATAAGCAAAATTAGCTCATTACACGATGTTATTTAAAGAGTAATATCACATCATTTTGTATTTATTTCTTTGTATAAAGACTTGGCCAATGTATTGTTACTAATTTTTTTAAAAGAATAATATTACACTTACAAAATTCTCATATAAAGATATATTTACAAAGTAATGTGATAATATACGAAGAGTAATGTTATATTTGCAAAATCTTCTTACAAAGAAATCAATATAAAATAATGTGATATTACTCACAAAATGACATATCCATTAATGAGTTTATTTTATATATTCACTCTATTATTTAAATATTCTCAAACTATTTTGTATATATAACAATTTTGTAAGTATAATATTATTGTTTTTTTTTTTTTTAAATGTTGGCACATCACATGGGAATTCTACATTTTGACTGTTAGATGAAATGAAATGTTTTCCCACCGAATAAGTTTATCTTTAAAGGAGGAAGACGGTAGCCTGCAATACATGGAAAAGTAGCTTTTTACCTTGATAATTCAAAACGCAAGCACAAGGAGGGGAGTAAAAGGCTACTTACAATATAATGCAGTATTATGTAAAAGCATGTTGTAAGTTTTAATTTTGAAATTTCACATTATAATTTTGTGTTAGTTTTACATTCATGTATAACATTACTTCTCAATTGTAGTATAACTAACTTACTCTCTCAATGAATTCAAACAATAGAAATTTCTAACATGTTACTCCAATATGGTAATAAGATTATACATCTCAACTAACACGTGCTTATCTAGAATTATTTTAAAAATATATCTGCCTTGCCCGATGGACATCAAGACAAAGTATTCAATTTCAACTACCACATGAACATGCATTTTCTACCATTCGCTAAGTCCGCATTTTTCACGTGCATTCTAATTTCCAACTAATGTATGTTCATGTCAAATCCTCACCTTAATGAAAAATCAATTTCAAGAATGCCTTGAATGAACATAATCACAGGGTTAAGGTACTACATTCAGTCCAATAAAGTCAAATGCAGAAAAAAGCTAACACAAGCAGATTCCAGGATCGTTTAAAGGTTCCTAAAAATGCAAAATGATTTGAATTTCAATCCAACACAATAAATAATAAAAAAAACACGTACAACTCATGTGACTTTATAAGTTTTAAACATTACTAGTAAAGATGGAAAGCAGTAAGCAATTATAACTTAAAAATACATGAAGATCTCATCTTTTCTGATTCCTCATCTGCACTGGAAATACTTTACATGTTAAACACGTATTCCCAAACTTTTTGTAAAGTTGATGGAAATTGATGCTTCTGATAATTTCCAGTGCATAAAAACTTTTAAGTGTTAAATAATTTCTACAAAACCTCTACATTTTTCTAAACCTAAACTAAGGCAACTGCTTCTACAATGGCATCTCTGCTGGCCCAAAAGAGTCATTACCTTTTTCCAGTCTGTTTACACTTACTCAAATATGCAAAATTGAACTCATCTAACAGTGAATTGAAGCAGTCAATACAACATTCACCATTGGAGCTTCAATTCTTTTAGGCTATTGCTGCTGCTCGTATATCTGCATGTAAGCCTCAGAAAGTGCAACCATTTGAGGAAGAGTTTCTGAAACATGAAGATCCTGCATCTCGTACCTGAAAACGTGGATAGCAAATGTCTCAGTTCAAATGATTGCTGCATTTTAATTCACATTTAGACAAATTATGTATAGCAGGAATATTACCATAATTCTTCTGACTTCCGCTGCACAAAAACCCTGTAGAACCCCTCCTCAGGTTTACCATCATGAACAATATTGGCAATCAAATCATACTTGGAACGCAATTTCTCATTCTCTTTCGGTGTTGGCAAAGGTATGTAGTCCTTCAATTCCAAATTTTTCACAGGAAAATTGACTGGAACAGTAATATCAGTTAGCACAAGGCAGTGCAAAACCAGGCTATGATTCACAATTGATGCACGAGGCTTTCAATTCATCCGACAAAAGGAACCCAAACATTTTCAAGAATATAAAAACTTACCAATGTCAGATTCTTTTCACAAAAAATTGTTCTTTGTAGAGCGCCGCATGTGAAGGATCAAGTATTGCGGTAATCTTGTGACACGATATCTCATTCTAGCCACACGGGAAACAACCTCAGTCACCATTCCCCATCAAACTTCTTCAATATATTAAATAATGGAACCTAAAAACAAAACACCATAGATTAGCCTCCAAAAACATAGTAAAGAATGATATTAACACTTTAGTAACTATTCATTTTTTTGGTTTGATAATATCTTTCCAAAGCTTTCCTATTTCTCTACTCTATGGAATTATCTTACCATGAAAGTACCCAATCTATTCTATTGAGGCTAAAGTGTCAATTTTCAATTTGCAACCACCAAGAACAAAAAGAAGGATCATAAAGCATCCACAACAAACACAAATTCCCAAAATTTGGCTAGAGTATCATTATTGTGCTCAATAAGGAAATCAGAAGAAAAAAAAAAAAACGAAAGAAGAATTGCCCAAAAGCAGTCCCAATCATCCAAAGAACATGCAAAATACAAAATAGCATGCACATTATATGCAGATATCCTTGACACTCTTATCACAAATTTGTCCAAAAACACTAGGAGATACTAAAACCAAAACTAACATGTTCAATAAATAGTGAGAGGTGTGAGAAGAAGAGTTTATTAGGTACAGCTACTTCACACTAAAACTTACAAATAGAGCTTATTAAAAAGATCTTATACGATAAAAGTTTTTAAGAATAAGTTGGTGATTCCGTGCTTGCTTGGTAATTAAACCCTAGTTAGTAAATACGGGTAGGCAAAAAAACGGTACGGGAATTTTACGGGTATAATCGGCAAATGGTGAAAAATACGTTTGTAAAAATTGGTCATAAAATTCGGATACGGAAAAAATATGATTCGGATATATACGGTAATACGACACATTGTCAATAATACGTTTTGAAAAATACGGCAAACTAATCTTGGTTTTAGCACTTTTCAAAACATCCCAATTTAAATAATCCATTGTGGTCGACCCTACAATTATTTTCCTTTTTATTAAAGTATATTTGAACAATAACTAAGCTAGTATTTTTATCCGTAATTTTATAGCTACGCAACCAAAATTTGGATTCCAATTAGTATGTTGTTTTATTTTCTGAATTTTATGTTCTGAATTAATTGGATAGTGCATCAAAGGTCAAATAATAATAGTGTTATGAAATCTAAAAACATGACAGAGTGCACATGGGTTTACAATTTGCAGTTGGCGTTGGTTGCAGTTGATGGGTTGTTTTTTTTTTCTTCTTAAGTATCACCAATTCCAAATCCAAGCCCGACAATATTATTTTATGAATTCATGCTTTTCTTTTGCAGTTTTGCCATTACCTTTTGCTTTCATAGATGATCTTTAGTCTTTCATTTTGACATACAACACAAAACAACAGAAAATGAAATATTATGTTAAAGCTTGGAGAAGAGAGTTAAAAAGAGAAGAGAACAAGAGATCAGACTCAAAGAGTCAAGAGATGAAGAAAAAAGAGTTGAATGTTTGAGATTTGAAGAAAGGATGAAGATGTGGAAGAGAGAACCGAGGAAAAGGAAGGAATTTTTTTAATTAGTCAAACCCAACCAAAACAACGTCGTTTTGCCTAACATTTAATTATTTTTTGTCTGCAAAAATCGGCAAAAATTCGGCAAAAATTCGCGATAATTCGCGAATTATACGGATAGGGTATATAATTCGCGAATTATACGGCAGCCCTAATAAAATACGTGAATTCGCGTTTTATACGGGAATTATACGGTAGCCGTATAATTCGCGTATAAAACGCGAATTACTAACTAGAAACGTAAAAGAGTTTTCAAGTAGTAAATTACCACCACCCCCCCCACCCCCCCCAACAAAAAAAAAAGAAGGTTTGATCTTCTCTGATAATATTTAGAAATAACAAGAAGATATTTTATATTTTAAAACTTCACAAAGGGGAAGAAAAAAAACCCTTTCTGGTAAACCCAAAATTTGAGATTCTCTTAGTAGACATAAATCAGTATTTAATCACTCCTATGCTCCTCTTGAATTGCAACCAAACAAATAGAAAATAATCGAAAAGAGTTTTGACATTAAAACTAAATGGGTTTGGAATATGAGACCATGGCAGCTTCATGCTGAAGCAAACACATTTACCAAAATCTGTTACATCCATTGCACTAGCAATTACAGCTTCTAAAACTCATTTTATAATCCTATTATTTAGTTTTGTTTCTTCTTCCATCTATCTAGTGCAAGAGTTGGAAGTTAAATACCATCAATACACTAAATTATCTTCAGACAAAGCATATCATATCTGGTTATATTCATCAATACACTCTCAAAGTGTCATGTTTTACCACAATTCGATCTATTTTGTTCAGTTGAAGAAAAAACTTATTAGCAGAATTTCCGCACTTTTCAATTAGATACCAGTAGCTATTGAAATTAAAACCCTACATTAAGGCACAA